TACAGGGAGGGCATTTAAACTGCCTCCAGGAGCCAGGTTTTTCCTGGAGGTTGGGAAAAATCACCTGGGGACATTTTACCAATAAACCTGGTCTTTTAATTCAGCTTGATTATAATTACTGTGTTGGCAGAGAGACCCAATATCCGGGTACGGAACCCTTTCATCAGTGATTCAAGTAGGCTTTATAGAAAGAACTATTTCTAATTAAAAGTTCAAAGCTTATCTCCAATACCATAAATACATTTCAAATGGATTAAATCTCACTTATTAACTTACCTTAATAATGTTGTTGAGAAAAAGTGTCAAGCAGAAAACTAGAAGTAAATGAAGTAAGAGTTTCCCAATCCTAGTCAAGAAGGTTCCAGTTTTTAGGTTTTTCTGGAAATTAAAAGAATTGTGTTTTAATTTTTAAGAAACATTTAAATAAATTTTAATGTCAACTATAACTTCATAATCACTTGAGATTGCTTGAAGATTTAAAATGTTGGCTCATGCAGCACACACATAAGTGAGAAACAAAACCTACTTCATGCGGTCTCTTTTTCTTTGTTTTAGTAGTTTTACAAGTGATATGAAAAGGGGGACATACTGGTGGTTAAAGTCTAAGCAGGGGTGAGGGGGAGAAAGGTGCAGGGAGCTGGTGAGATGACACCAAGGATGTACGAAAAAGCCTCGTGGGGACCAACTAGTCTGTAAGGTAAATTACAAATGCAATTAAATAAAGAAGGAGTTTGAACAGAGGTCACCTGTAAGGGTGCACAAGAAGACATGGGTTAGTAAATGAAAACCTTGGTGTGAACACTTGGGAAACCTAGGAGTTACTGAACAAGAAGGCTCCAGCAGACCTTAAGAAAACACACATTCAAGGCAAGATCTCCTGACTAAATTGGGAGCATGGGGACCATGAGAGAGGGTAGAAAGAGAGGGAAGAGAAAGGGAGTTGGGGGGGAAGGGGGAGAAAAATATACAGCTCAATAAAAACAATAAAAAAAAGATGCACATTGGAATTACAAAAAAAAAAAAAAAGACAACAAATTCTTGGCTGCCCACTGGTGAAGACATCACATACATGGGTTGTAGTGAAACCAAACTGGAACAGACTGGGGAACTCCCTCTCAGCAGGTGAGCTCTCACAGTGCAGGAAAGCACTATGCGGGATGCTGGGTAGGGTGGGGGTTGGAGGTAGAGAAGACATCAGTGGTCTTATCTAGCACTGACCTTGCATGCTAAAATATTGGCCGGCCAGGTAAAGAGTGCTCACTGGTGTGACAGTGGCATGACCGTTATGGGAGCAACCAACTGCTTTATGATTGGATGAGGTCTATGCGCCAGAAGAGAATTCATGCCTGGTTCTATAAACTTAAACAAAAGCACATGACCAGGGAGGTCATTAGTCCTGGGAAAAATCTATGCTGTCGAACCATCTTCTAAATATTCATGTTTTTATCTACAGATCTGCCATTCTCTTAGCCTTGGTTAGAGAAGATTGTTCCCCACTCCCCCAATGGTTAATACAGAGATTCATAACTGACCAAAGTATAGAGAATTATGATTAACTATGAATGTTTAGCCTTAAATGAGACACCTTTACTGCACCCCCACCCCAAGGCTCAGGGAATCACAGGACACAGTGGGTGGAAAGAATGCAGGAGTTGGAGGATGGAGAGAAAAGCCCTGAGATGCTGTCTTCAGGACACGACACATTGTACTCTGAGCTCACAAGCAGGTGTGGCTCCCTTCAAAAGACCTTGACAGATCAAATCAGATTCCAGCATGGATGGGGAGGGGCTGATGAGGCCCACCCCTAACCAAGGAGCTACCAGCAGCTGCTGGCTGCTGGGAGAGGGAGGGTCATTTTTTTGAGGATATGGCTTCCAGTAGGTTGCCCATGCTGCAGCGGGTGGCCTCACAGCCATTTGCAGAGCTCAGAACTAACTGCATTCCGTGGGTAATTTTATAAATGAGGAAGAAGACACGAAGTTGGAAAGGGGACATGTTGGGGACTCTGGGGAGAGACCGAAGGGCCAAGAGTGGGAGTAGATATGACGGAAATACATAGTATACAAGTATACAATTCTCAAAGGATTAAATGTTTACAAGAACTTTACATGATTTTAGAATAGCTTATGAGATGCCCCACGCCTTTGTAAGCAGTTATCTGGATTCTCTGAATTGTGAAAACAGTGCATTTTAATTCCCTTCAATGTCACTAACAGGCTATGTAAAGACAGGAAAGGGTGTCAACCAGCAAGAGGTCCAGACCTGGAAGGCACTACTGAATACAGATGATTTTTTATCTTGTATTGTAGTTTTCCATCTATGACATATAATAATGTAATCCAAATAAACAACCCTGGCTAGTGCAGGAATTAAGGATTCAATTGCGTAAGAAATAATCACTGCTAAAAGCAAAGAATGACACATGGACCTGAAAAAGCTTAAAATAAATGTTCCAGCATGCATTTCAAAAGGAAAAAGCAAAGGTAACCCTGATGGAGTTCTTTATTGGGAATTAGGTTGTTCCTGAATTCTGGATGAGAATAAGGTTCAGTGAGCCACACAATCAAAAATAGATCTTATAGGGCTGGAGAGGTGGCTCAGCAGTTAAGATTGTGTTCTGCTTTTGCAGAGGACCCCAGTTTGGCTCCCAGCACTCAGTTTAAGTAGTTTACAAGAGCATATAACTCAAAGTCCCGGGGATCTGGTGCCCTCGTCTGTCTTCCCTAGGAATTGCACTCATGTGCATATTCACAAAACACACAGTTGCAGAACTAAAGACTAAAATATTTTAAAATAGTCTACAAAAAATAAAAAGTCCTACCTGAAGTTTTCTTACAATTAATACTGAAAGGTTAAAACTGATGAGCAATGATCCCAGAATCATGGAGTTAAAAAACTGAAGTGTGCAGACGAGGAGCAAGCAGCTTATCTGTATGCCGTACAGCCAGGTGGCCTGCAACAAAGACGACACAATGGAGATTTCATCAGGAGACCGAGACACGGTGGCACAGTGACCACATTTCAGGTTACCAACAATGCAGAACACACACCTAGCTCCAAGAAACCCATCTACAGAGGAATGCAATATTGTATACATTCCATTTGTTTTTCATTTTTACTGATAGAAAATGCCTTAAAGATGTCTACTTAATTGTGTGTACGTGCGCCTTCATGTGAGTTTGAGCATGTGTGCACAGTGACTACAAAGGCCTGAAGTGGGCGCCAGATCCCCTGGAGCTGGAGTTACACATGGTTGAGAGCCACTTGATGCGGATGCTGAGTGCTCTTTAACCACTGCTCTCCAGCCCAATAATAGGATATTTTAATTTTGTGGCATTAATGAAAAGGGAAACCAACAAAGGGGTAAATATATTTGGGGAAATAAAAATGTGACTTGTAATTTTCAATTTTCTTTCCAATTCTTTTTATAATTAGTGTCTACAACCAAAAGTCGGGACTTCATCTCTTCCCATTACTTTCCAGACCACCCACTTCAAGCCTGTGTCATGCATGACTTTATTTAGCTTGTATTCATCCTCAGGGTAAGTCTGAAAACCCCACATGACTGCTCACAATTGCTTGTAATTCCAGCTCCAAGGGATCCAACACCCTCTTCTGGTCTCTGTGGGCATTGCATGCATGTGGTGTCATGACACACACACACACACACACATAGGCAAACACTCATACACATTCTAGGAAAAGTAAGTAAATCTTCTTCAAAGCATGTTAAGCATTTTCAATTCCATACTTACACAGATCTATGGAAAATAACAGTTTTGTTCATCACACCCAGCTTCCTTAATGGTTCATGCTTTTGACCTCAAAGGAAACCAATCTGTTTCAAGCACGAAGGGAGGTCTGCAGGGCCTGCCTTTGCCTGGTGTCACTAGGAGAGCAGGGCAGAGGATGCTAGGGGTTTTTAGGACTATAATGTATCTTACAATACACAGAAAACCATGTAATAGAATTGTAATTGATAGGATGGCAGGGCCAAGAGTTACCAGACACTGTTACCAACAGGCAAAGCAGGGTCAGAATGGCACCTCCCATCTCATACAAACAACATACTCCATGCTATGTGCAATTTTCTCACATCAATGACTATTTTGTGAAAATTTAAACTTCAAAGCACTGCATAGCTGTGACGATCTGATTCTGAAATATACCCCCATAGACTTATGTTTTAAAGGCTTGTTCCTCAACTTGCGGGGCCTTAAAACTTTTGCGGGAGATAATTACATACATGTATACACTGAGTATAATCTTATCTAGCCTGTTTCTATCCTATGTCCCCAATATGCTTCCTCCCAAATTTTGGGTTTTTTGATTTTTTTTTCCTGTTTGACAACCCACTAAGTCCAGTTAGTACCGCCCATAGGTGTATGGATGTAAGACACCCATCACAGCACACAAGACCTACCAGGACCACATCCTCAGTAAAGCGGCTACTTGGCGCGCTGGGGGTGGGGGTCTAAATGCCAGGATTTCGGCTGGTTTGATCTTGTGCACGCAACCACAGCTGCTGAGTCTTTGGGAAATGGGGCCCATCAGTGGAAGGTGGTCACGGACACCAGGCCTTCATGGCTATGCACAGCTCTGGTTCTGATCCTTGCTTCTGCTTCCTGCCTGCTGGTTCTAACTAATGCTGCCTTGGCCTCTGGACACAGTTGTGATGAGTTCACGGTGTGCAGAGGTCACGTCACGTCCCAAAGATAGCATTCCACAGCCCTCCTGCCCATCCCCCAGTGCTCGCATTCTTTCTGACCCCTTCTTTGGAAGAGGGGATTGAGATGGGGTCCCATGTAGGGCTGAGCACTGGATAACAGGTGTTTTCCTGACTGAAGTTTCTTAGTGTTCTGACCTTGGCAGTGGAAGGCAAAGCTGGCTTCCTCTGATACCATCCTGGCAGGGATGGAAAAGATGTCGCCAGGCTAAGTGGGGGCTGAAGTTAGACTCCCCATGTGGCTTGTGGGAGATGGTGAAACCTCCAGCTTTTCTGACAGTGCCCTGACGTGAAGCAGAGATGCTCCAGCAGAGCGGCATGCGGCAGAAATCCCAGCGCTCCCACGATCAGCGGCTGGCAGGGTGGGGAGTGGAGCGGCATGTGTTTGGAAGGTGTGGGCCGTCAGGAGCCGTTAGTGTTCTGTCTTGCTAAGTTTTCTCCTTTCTGGTCCTCTGCTACAGAATGGGTTTTTCTTGCGCTTTTCTGTCTGAATCTACTGCTATTTCTGAGTTTCTGATTTTTCAAGGGACTACTCTGGGATCTGTGAAGGAGAAAGCAAACAGGAGATTCGTCACATTGTGCTTCTGGTCTGGAAGTTTCTAACTGTCACAGTCAGGGTTCTATTGTGTGAGGAGGCACCATGACCATGGCAACTCTTATAAGGAAAGCATTTAATTGGGGATGGCTTACAGTTCAGAGGTTTAGCCCACTATTGTCTTGGTGGGACACGGTGGCATTCAGACAGCCATGGTGCTGGAGAGGTAGCCAGGAATTTTATATCTGGATCAGCAGGCAGCAGGAAGAGAGGGTGACACTGGGCCTGGCTTGAGCACTTGAAACCTCAAAGTCCAGTGACAGCACACACACTAGGAGGTAGATATGGCTTTGCTTATTTTATATGTGGTGTTTGACCAGTCAATAAAAGCATACACTCTATGTATCAGGAGAATGTGACGATGAAAATCCTACAAAATATTATGGAAGAAAATAATTGTTTGGTCTGGAATGGTGGCTTGTATCTGTAACCCCAGCACTTAGAAGGTTGAGGCCAGAGGACTGTGGGAGGTTGCAGGTCAGCCTGGCTTACAGAGGAAGGTCCTGTCAGATGGCTCAGCAGTTAAGATCACTTGCTGCTCTTATAGAGGACTCAGGTTTGGTTCTTAGCACCCACTTGTCAGCATATAACCATTCATAACTTCACTAATAAGGGATCCGGAGCCCCTGTGGGCCTCTGCAGGTACCAGACATGCATGTGGTACACACATATACATGCAAGCAAAACATTCATATATGTAGCGTAAAAATAAACCCTTTTTAAAAAAAAATAAATAAAACACTTGTAAAAGAATTATATGCCCAATTCAGTTTTGTATTAAAAAATAGGTACTCTACATTAAGAAAATTTAAGAGCTACACTGTATTTTAAATTGTAATCCATGTTTATAAATGGCAACTGACAGATACACCTGTACCTCAAACAGATGTACTGTCAAAGGATTCATTTCTTTATATTATTTGCCTGTATGAGTTTATGTGTACTATATGCATGCAGTACCCAAGGGGGCCAGAAGAGGGCACTGGATCTCCTGGAGTTGAATTTACTCCATATGAGCTGCTATATGATTGTGGGGAGTTGAACCCAGGTCCTTTGTAAGAGCAGTACATGCTCTAAACCATTGAGCTATCCTTCCGGTTGCCTAGAGGCACTGCTTAGCTTGAAGATGAAGGCAGAGTGCTCACCTTCATGGCTGGCAGCATGTCCAGGGAGTCCAGGATGAACAGCACTAGCGCCTGCAGCAGCATCATGAACTGATTGAACTGCCATGTCAGGCTAAAGAGGAAAGTTGATATGAAAATGACAAGAAGTGTCAGCCTCTGTGGGGGAAAAAAGAGAAACCTTCGGGTAATTTACATGTCTGCAGTCATAAAAAAAAATCTCGCAGTTCAGCTTGCGGAGTAGCCTGTGTCCCTGTAAACCAAATAAGAGTACAGAAAGCATAAACTGCTGCTTTGAAAACCGTTGCGTTTGTTATTTAAGCTCCAAATATCCCGAAGTGACATTCTCATATAAATATTCACATATGGTATGTGCATTCCACGCTGATCTAGAGGCCGCAATACACCCATCCACATCTCAAGAGCAACGACTTAGAAATTCTGACAGCTCCACAGAACTGTGTGTGGGCTTCCTGCAACTACTTGAGGGCAGACTGTAAAGAGGACGTTTTTTCACTCGAAAACATTTTCTTTGCAGGGGAGGAGAAGAGAGTTCAACCTGGAAGTGAAGAGGTGGCTAGGCAGTCAACTTGCTGTTGTGGCAAAAGACCTACGTCTGGTTTCTGACACCCACTCGGGGCTGCTCACAACTGCCCATAACTCCAGCTTAGGAGGTCAATGCCCCTCTCTGCCCTCCCAGGCACCAGAACCTAAGCGACTGTACCCACACAACACATGCCTGAACACATAATTTAAAAATAATGAGAGCTCTCCCTGGGAACTGCAGCATCTTAGACAAAATCGGGGGCTAAAAAGTAGTCTAGAAACTTTGGACTGGCAAAATCTTTGAGTGGGTAGAGACACTGAGAACCCTGGTTTAATCCTTGGATCTGACAAACCGGTGGGAGGAGAAACGATTCCAAGTTGTCCTCTGACCTCCACACGAGTGTTGTGGCCATTCACACACCCAGAGACACTCACACCTACACACACACACTCACTCATACATACAGTCAGGCATACACATTCATGCACACATACACAGACAAGTAATTAACGTGTTTTAGAAACTTACTTCAGAAAGATGCTGTAAGTTTGGTCTCAGGAAGTAGGTAATCGCTGCAATCTGAATTGCAAAGAAAGGGAGAGCCCAGTTCTCTCTCAGCGGGATGGTGAACTCGACCCTCGTGGTATCTGTTCTGTAGGAAGAGAACACAGACAACCAGAATAGTAGCTCTTGGACTCATTTCCTCAAGAGATTCCCTGCTAGCTATCGGGCATGTTTCGTCCAGGGACACAGAGATCTGGCCACAGCTCTCCATGGCAACCGTCATCACCATCTTCACCACTATTACCCCGCTGATATGAAATCCCTATCCTCCTCGGAGCTCAAGTCCAGGTTAGTGCAGGTACTGAGGACACTGAGGCCCCAGCCAAACTCCCCTTCCTACTCTTCTCTAGATGCTGAAGCAAATTTTCTTTTCTTTGTTTTTTTTTCTTTTAAAGATTGATTTTTATGTATGAGTGTTTTGTCAGCAGTGTCCAAAAAAGGGCATCAGATTCCCTAGAACTGGAGGAAAGGTGGCTGTGAGCTGCCACTGGGTGCTGAGAACCAAACTTGTGTACTCTGCTTTTTTGGATTTTTGTTTTATTCTTGTTTTTTTTGAGACAGGGTCTCTCTATGTAGCCCTGGCTGTCCTGGAGCTCACTATGTAGACCAGGCTGGCTTTCAACTCACAGAGATCTGCCTGTCTCTATTTTTGGTACACTACTAAACCCAGCCTCTTATAGCATTGTTAAAAGAATAGATTTTGTAAAGTGTTGAGCATATCATAAACATTCACTAGACTTATAATAAAAAATAATTTGGGGAAGGCTGGAGAGATGGCTCAAAGGTTAAGAGCACTGGCTGCTCTGGCAGAGAACTCAGCTTTAGGTCACAGCATCCACAAGGCAGTTCATAACCGTCTCTGACTCGTTTCAGAGGATTGGATGCCCTCTTATGGCCTTCACAGGTAACAGGCACACACATAGTGCATATACACGCATGCAGGCAAACACATGCATGTAAGCAAACACTTAAATATATAAACTATGACTAAATTTAAAACATAAGTTTTATAAGATTAAGAAGAAAAGCTATATTAGAACTCACGTTAAAACTTTAGCAGCCTTACTAACCATTGCTGCTGCCGCTGTAAGCTGGGGAACAACCCAATAAGTCTTTTCTCAAGACCAGGGTCTCACTATGTAGCACAGACTGGTCAGTTACTTGCTATATAGTTTAGGCTGCTCTCATACTTGAGGTAATCCGCCTGCCTCAGACTCCTGAGTTCTAGGAATACAAAGCATAAGCCACCCTGCCCAACCAATAATCTTGAATAGGTTTTTATACTGCTATTTCATAAGGCTCCTACATTTACAAATTAATATGAAAACATGTCAACAATAACAAATAATGAAAGAACTGCATATACATAGCACTGTATATTTTGCTGCAAATCCTATTATGATGGACAAGGAAGCTAGATATGCTGGGGAAGCCTCTTACTGCAGCAGCTCGGAACGCAGAGGCAGGAGGACCTGAGCTCAAACCCTGCTTGAGTCATGGAGTGAGTTCAAAGACAGCCTGGCAACATAGTGAGACCATGTCACAAAAACAAAGGGAGTTTGGGATATAGTTTAGTAGTAGAATTCCTTCAGGGCATACACAATGCCATGTGTTTCACACACACACACACACACACACACACACACACACACACACACTCTCTCTCTCTCTCTCTCTCTCTCTCATACACACTTGCACATATACTCTTACACACATACATTCATACACACACTCTCACACACATATACACATGCACACACACACTCACGCACACTCTCACATATAGATACTTATATTCTTGCACACACGTACACACTCTCTCACAAACATACACTCTTACACACATGCACACACCCATAGGTTCATACACTCATACACATATTCACATACACACACTCAAACGTATATTCTCACATACATACATACACTCATACACATACTCACATACACTAACACATACACACTCATGTACATACACATACATATATACACTGACATATACTCACACATACTCACATACACGCACTCATACACATGCCCCATACTCTCTCACACACCTCTGCTATCACTTAACTGTGCAGAGATGAGGTGTGTGGCTAAAGAATACCGACCACGGAGCGAGCAGGTATCGACAGCGGGATTGTAACCGATGAGGCTGTGCTGCGGTATTTTTTGAGGGAAAGCTCTAGAACAGGCTTTCTGCCTTGCTGAACAAGAAAAACCCTCTCAAGCAGCACACTGTGCTTTGGTTCACCAACCACACTATTTACAGTGGTCCTCTGCATAAGAAAACAGACTTCCTTCCCACCCAAAACCAGGAGAAGAAGAAAAGCAAACTGACTCAACTCACCTGTTGGTGACATACCAGAGAGCAGCCAACAGTCCCGACAGCCAGGTGCCACTAAGGAGCCAGCTGGTTATATAAAGGGCTGTGACATAGACTGCTTGGAGCCCGAAAAGAGTGTAGATATAAAAATAAACAGGTTCGAGATATTTCTGCAAAAGGCAACAATGAAAACTGCTCATCAGGGCTGGGGAGGCAGCTCAGTGGTAGCCTATTTGCCTAATGTCTTAGTTACTGTTCTCTTGCTGGGAAGAGAACCATGGTAACCATGGTAACATACAGAAGAAAGAGTTTAGTGGGTGCAGTTTCAGGGGTGAGTCCATGACCATCATGGTGGGAGTAGGGTGGCAGGTAGGCACGCTGGAGCAGTATCTGAGAGCTTACATATTGATCAAAAAGCAGGACATAGAGAGAGAGCTAACTAGGAATGGTATCGGCTTTGAATGTCCCTTCCATCTCCTCCAACACACACCCACTCCAACAAGGCCACATCTCCTAATCCTTTCCAACTGAGGATCAAAAATTTAAATATATGCACTTATGGAGGCCATTCTCACACAAACACCACACCTAGAAGTGCCAGGCCCTTGGTTCATTCCACAAGCCGTGGAAGTTTATCATAGATGTCCTAACCCTCTTTACTGGCATTTAAAAAATATGTCCATAGAGGGGCCTAGAGAGCTGGCTCAGTGATTAAGAGTGCACATCACTCTTGCAGAGGACCAAAGTTCAGTTCCCAGCACCCATGCTGGGCAGCTCACAGCTGCCTGTAACTCCAATCCCTGGAGATTCTAAAGCCTCACATGTACAAAACCCTACACATTCAAACAAATCCAAAATAACAGAAATCCTTGCAAAAGTACGTCCATACAAAGGTAACATTGAAAAGTTTGCAGTGGACCCCAGCAGTAGGGTCATCACCGCTTTTCACCTACCAGAGAGCAGCTGTCTTTCTTCAAACTAGCAAGAGAAGAAGCAAGGGAGGCCTCTAGACAAACCAACACCTAACTTTGTCTAATTCTGCCTCACGCACGTGAGAAATGGTCATTGTGATCTGATAATTTTATGTATTTTTTTAAGTCATAAAGATAAGTCATAGTGCAGGGTGGTGGTGGCACATGTTTTTATCCCAGCACTAGGAAGGCAGAGGCAGGTGGAGCTCTCAGAGTTCAAGGTCAGTCTGATCTATAGAGCGAGATCCAGGATAACCAAGGCTACACAGAGAAACCCTGTCTTGAAACCCCTCTACCAAAAAATCATTAAGTCTTAGAAAAACGGGTTAGTCAAGAATAGTTACACATTTTCAAATAAAACTATTTCTGAAGCTTCTAGACTGCACACATATTATGGCATAAGCCAGGAGGCATCTACCTGTAAAAATAAAATAACAGTATTTTACAGGAATAGAGCAATGAAAACAAAGCAGAGCTCTCGGAGCCCGCGGTGCTGATCCTCTACCAAACTAGCTGAAGTCAGAGAACATGAGTGAGACTTCCACCCTGAGCGGCGGCAGGTGAGGACCACCATCAGACACTAAGAGAACTCAATGAAGACAATGCTACATACCTGTATGGGGAGAACTCTATATAAAACACTGAGAAAAACTTCTTGGTAAATATTCATTCGCTGAAGGAGGTTGATCGTCCTCATGGATTCAGTTTTATTGTCATAGATTAAGCCATGAAAACCTAAGGATATTTGAAAAAAATATTAAGAGAAAAAATGACATACTTCTCCATTCATTCAATATCATGCACAAACTGTTTTATGTGAAGAGTGTGGTTAAAACAACTGACCTCAGAGTGAGCTATAGAGCCACAGTTACAAAGCATCAATAATGAGACAAAAAACAAAACAAAACAAAACAAAACAAAAAAAAAACACAGATGTGTCGAACAATGGGAGGCAACACAAGACCCAGCAATAAACCCATGCAATGATCGCAGCCTAATGTTTGACAAAAGCAGCAGAAACATGTGTTAGAAAAAAAATGTGGCAGAGTGGTGGTGGCGGTGGTGGCGGCGGTGGCGGCGGAGGCGCATGCACGCCTTTAATCCCAGCACTGGAGAGGTAGAGGCAGGCGGATCTCTGTGAGTTCAAAGCCAGCCTGGTCTACAGAGAGAGAGTTCCAGGACAGTTGGGGCTGTTACACAGAGAAAACCTGTCTCAAAAAACAAAACAAAACAACAATAACAACAACAACAACAAAAGCCTCTAATGACACCTGCTGGGGAAAACATTCACACATAGGTACAGTTAAGAGCTTCTGAAGAGAACCCCAAAAGAATGACCCCCCAACAGACAAATGTGCTGACACAAATTTAAAAAGCTTGTGCAGAGCAAAGGAAACACATCACAGAGTGGACACAAAAGCCTGTAGAGCGGGAGAGAATCATCGCCAGCTACATCTCAGATGGGTGATTAACATCTAGAACATATAAACAGCTACAAAAATTGAACACCGTGAAAACAAACTTGCTAATCAAAAATGAGTATGAAAACTGTTGAACAAACAGTTTCCAAAAGTAAGAACACAAATGGCCGACACAGCTCTTTAAAGGTGTTCCACATCCTTAGTCGCCAGGGAAACACACAAGCAAATGACTTGGAGATCCCATTCCCTGCAAGGCACACTGGCCATCATCAGGTGAGCAAATGACAATAAGTTCTGGAGAGGACCAGGGGGAAGGAGGAGCCTTATCCACTGCTGGTGGGAGTGTGAACTGGGGCAACCACTGTGGACATCAACATGCAGACTTTTCAAAGAATTAGAAATTCTTAAAAACTAGAGCCTCCCCTCCATGCACACACGCCCTGATAAACTAATGGCAGTTAGTGTTTCCTGGGGCAGGCAGATTGAGCTGCCCATGCTCCAGTAAACACCACCCACAAACGATTATGCAGGTAACCTCAATTTAACTCAGTGGTCACAAACAAAATTAAATAAAGTCACAAAAGATGTGAAAGCACATGGGAAACTTGTTAGGAAGAAAACAAGGTTTAGTGGAGGCAGGGGGATGACAGTGGAACACTCGGGTGGTAAAATGATCAAAATGCATTGTATATACATAGGAAATTTGACAAAGAATTTTAAAAGACAATTTCTTCCTCAAAAGTACTCATCATAGAATTGCTGGTCCCGTGTCAGCCCGTCAATGACATCAGTAGTTTTGGCCATGTGGCAGAAGTACACAGGCTGGGACTTACAGAAACACAAGTCCATTCGAGATCACGCCCACAGATGGCTCTGGATAGAGGGCATGCTATCGCACGTGATGAAGCAGTGCTCCTAAGAACACCCTCTGTCACAGGTACATTCTGAGGAACTGCTGATTCTGAGACCCTCTGACCAGGGCTTAAATCAGCAGTGAGGGGTCAAAGACCCAGCCCCAAAATGCTACCCTGGTCCGCAGTATCCTGAGAAGTTACCTTAAATTCTTAGGGACCCTGACTCTTGCCAATCCAGAATTTGTGGCTTTGACGTTGAGAACAGTTTGAGAATTAGCCAATCTGTCGAAGGCAGAATTGGAGATTAAAGTTGTTGAGATAGATTCTCAAGAGAGGGCCATCACTTCCAAGACACAGATTCGGGCTGCTATAAGAGTGCTTGGTACATCTCGTGCCCCAGAGTGACCGTGTGGAAGGTGCTGGAAGCTGTGGGAATTTCACTGTCCAGTGTTTCTTGGGACACCATCTACCTTCTTTGCCTCTGTTTCCCTCTTTGAAACAGGCTGGCTCCAGGAGGTGCCTTGTAATGGGATTACAATCTGATAAAGCCAGGAGCTATGGGAGCTGGAGATGGCTCAGTGGTTAAGAGCACTGGCTGTCTTTTAGAGGACCCCAGTTTGATTCCCAGAACTCACATGGCAGCTCCAACTCCGGTCGTAGGGAACCTGGTACAGGCACCAGGAGGAACATACATGGTACACAAGATATTCATACATTGAAAATTATGAGCCAGGTGTGGTGGTGTACGCCTTTATCCCAGCACTGAGGAGGCAGAGGCAGGTGGATCTCTGAGTTTGAGGCCAGACTGGTCTACATAGGACAACCAGGGCTACACAGAGAAACTCTACCTCAAAAAAATCAAAACAAATACACGCACATGTCTCACACACACACACACCAGTGCATCAGTGCAAAGCAGGCCTTGAGTGACGGCAGAGAAAGTAACAGTGCCCAGACTGTGGTAGCTACAGTTACCTTGCAGGAGGGTCGGCGCTTGCAGCATCTGCTTGTAGTAAGAATAGTACAGTCCACACTCCGTCCTGAATGAGATTTCTCGCTCTACTTCCTGAAACAAAGTGAGAACAACGACTGGGTTTACTTGACCTAGTTTGTGGAAACACCCACCGTTACTATAGAAACAAGATACAGAACTACAGAACTTAGGCGAGAAAAGATACTCTGCAAATACCAGAAATCCTGACCCATGGAGGCATGGCGGTGAGCGCCTGCAATTCCAGCAGCAGGAGGCTGAGACAGGAGGATCATGAGCTCAAGGCTGCTCTGGAAACTGTATAGAGAGATCCTGCCTCAAAACAACCAAAACAAGGCTGAGGATGCTGATGCAGGACCATGGGCCAGACGCCCAGGGGTTGGG